TGATTCATCAACTGATCAATTTCATTATTAATCCATATACAAAGCTAAGGAAAATTCTTACCAGGTTATATGTCACATGTTCTAAAAGTATAAAATGTAAATCTTGGCTATGTTAAAGCTAAAAAGCTCAACTGTTGTTTTGTGTTGCTGTTTACACTAATGGCACAAAAGCTATAAATTCAGTTAAAAAAAAATACAGTTTTACTTAAAATGTCCTTGTAGTAGTAACAAATAACTATTCTCAATGCTCATGTACCTGAATTCTTCATATTGTATGAGAAACTAGGAAGCACACATCAAGTACTCCTGTATTTCCAAAGCACTGTTTGTTTTTAAGAAAATGCATATGGCAGAACTATTTCAGTTATGTGCTGAACTAGCCACTCTCCATGTTGCACAATTTTTATTTCAAAGAACAACCATGGTTACTCAGATTTGCCTCTTTCATGGCCATTTCCTCCACTAATATTAAATCTGTGTTTGCACCAAATGACCTCAGATAGTAAGTTCTAATGGACATTTTTCCTTGCTGATATACTGACATCCATACATTATAGGGCATTACCCATACCTCCAACCCTTCTCCTTGAAACACCACCCAGGTTTTGTCCCACAATTCAGTGACTAATCCTTGGTTTCCTCTTTGCCTGATTAGTGTTCCTAAGATTCTTTTCCTTCAAAAGTAAACACATTGGTATTAGCTACTTAATAGTTAAGCAAAGAATCAATATAAAAATAAAAAGCTCTTTTTAGGTTTTTTTCTCCTTAGTCTTCAGAAGCTAAAGAGACAAACATAAGCTCTTCTGCTTAAATAAAAGCCAAAGTAAAACACATTATATATATATATTACACCCAACATGTAAAAGATTAGCTACAATCAAAATGTAGTTTTCTCCACAGTGTCCACCATTAAACACAAAATAAAAAGATATTTTCAATATTTCTGCGCAGGTTTTCATTGAGCTTTGCTTCCAGCTCACCCAGTTCTTCTTCTGCTTTTCTAACATCTTTTTGTAATTCAAGTCGAGACTTCCTTGTGTCATAATAACCTCCAGTTAGAGCACCCCGATGACTGACTTGGTCACCTATAAACAAAACATGATAAAGGTAGTGATTCTGTATAACAATTTTATTCAATGATAAACTGACTTATAATCAAATACTTATCAAAGGCTTTAAATTACACAATGAGAATTAAAAATGTACGTTCTAGATAAGCCTTAACATCTAGCAGAAAGCAAAAGTTCTAAAGACTAATGAGGACATATCAATATGACACTAAGAACCAGTTTGGAAAAAATCAGAGCATCAAAAATAATAGCAATGTAATAATACTGAATTAAAAAAAATCCGTGAGTATAGTGATACTTAAAAATAAATAAGTAGCTGGGTACTGTGGTGCATGCCTGTAATCCCAGTGGCTCGAGAAGCTGAGGCAGAAGGATCATGAGTTCAAAGCCAGCCT